CCCGCCGCCCTCCGCGGCGCCGCCGCCCTCCGCGCAGTCCTGTGAGGAGCGGGGCGGCTCGTCCCTCCCGGCCTCTCCCGAGGGCCGCATGTTTGCGGTGCGGATCCCCTGTGCCATCCCCGCGCCGGGTCCTGCGGAGGCGGCCGCCGCCTCGGCGGAGCTCGGTGCGCGCCAGCCCTCAGAGCGGGTCGCTGCTCCCTGCGCAGCCGCGCGGGCCGTCCCCGGGGTCCCCCCCGGTGTCCAGGGCCGTCCTTGCGTGTCCCGGCGGCCGCCTGCCGGGGCCGCTGGCTCTGGACACACTTCCCGGCGCCTCTCGTCACCTGGGAATTTTCATCCATCGGCCGGCGGAAGCTTAGTGGGAGACTGAAGCCCTGTAACCCAGCTGACTGAGCCAGGGAAGTAGTTGAGCACGCAGACAGCCAGACTGTCCGCATCGTTAAGCGTGTGGTGTCCTGCTGAGGCCTGTTACACTTCGCTTTCCAAGAGAATGCAGCCTTGATGCAACTATGAGCAGAGAATCAGGCAACTATGGAAATATGTAGACAACAAGGTGCAGTCACCTCCCTGTGCGGCATGCAGAACACAGACTGAATTGCCCTTTGATTTTTTAATAGCTGAGAAGAGGTTTTATCCTGCTGTTAGAGCTGCCCTGATCAAACACGCTCAGCAGTGCAGTCAGGTAAATTATAAGCTGACAAGGTTTTCTTTAGAGGTATCGTTGATTGTTTTATTTAAGGTAAGGTGCTATAGTAACACCTATCTTTTAAAAACTTGAATATGGTTTTTAAGTCTTAGGATTTTCATTTTAAAACTTCAAAAATCCTTAACGTAGTCATACCCTAAGTAAGCACCTTTTCTTAGAATTGTCTGTGTCTTAAATCCAAGCAAGGTTAGTCCCCTGCGATCTGTATCCGTATAAAATGGTTGTCTAAATAAACAGGGAAGACTCTGGAATAGCCGTGGTGGAACACCCGTTGCTCTGCAGTAGTAACTCCTGTGAGCGGACTGCGAGTGCCTTCGGCATGACGGATTCCTGGTCTGCCAGGTTCAGGTCTCGGTTGTCGAAAGCAGAGCGGGTACCAAAGGGGTGCTCGAGTGACCAACTCGAGCACTTTTATTGCCCTGTTGCTGCYGCTGGGACACAACACTCGGCCTGCCAAACCCCATTTCCCATCTGTGGCTCCTCCTGCGCTGCCGCAAGAGCGGGTCCTGCTTGCAGTGCCGGCTGAGCCGCATTCGAGAAGGCTCTCGCAGCTCTTTGCAAGGTTCAGTTTGCAGCCGTGTACTGTCTTGTGAGACGTTGTAGTACCTCTGAGAAGGAATTTAGGACTGGTCTAGTACTAACTTGGTCCTTGCTATCAATGTCTGAGATGAGATGGGGATGCAGCCGTGAAGAGGAAGACACCACTGTAACAGTGGCACACTGCTGCCAGAGGGGTAGTCCAGCTGACTTCTCCCGCTGCCTTTGCCTTCCCATAACATCTGCAGTGGCTTTGGGAAGGATAAATAATAGAGTCTGATCCCAGCACTGCAGTGGTAGATGTAGACTAGAATGAGTTCTTGRTAAGGCTTTTCAAGAAATGGAGTGGGATAGTTTTGCACAAATATGGCTCACTAATTGAAAAAAAAAGAAAAGGCCAAGATAGCTGAAAATTGGCTGTGTTGAATTCATTATGCCTTTTTCAAGGGAGCAAAGATTGGAAAAATCAGAATGTTTTCCTCAGTATTTTCTAAACTAAACAAATGCTTGGTCTAAATAGAGGCTGTATTTCTGAAATTGACCTATATTTCATGTTAAAATTTTAAAATGTATTTTTAGACCTTGAAATGGATCATATGAAATATTTCTAATGTTTCCAATAATCTAGAATGAACTTTGATTCTCATTTATCTGAGAAAACAGAGCTTTGTTGTGTTTGTTTATTTGTTTGTTTTTGCTTTGCTTTGGATTAATCCAAAACAGCATTTTCTGTAATTTTAATTTCTCTCAGAGAACTAAAGAATTTTCCTATCTGTTCTTAAGTCTTTTAACGAAAACTCATATACTGAATATATTCAAGCTGCCTATAGTAAACATTTTGCTACAAAGCAATCTCGTTTAATTAGTTACATAGGAAGGATAGGAGAAGCTGCATTTCCTTGCCAAATCTGTGGGTTTTACATGTTTCAGACTCATCAATCAAAACTGGCAGCATGATGACCTGTAAGAGCCGAAGCTGGCAATTCGCCAAACCCTATTCCTGTCAGGCCAGACAGCAACACAAGTTTATCTGTTCCCTTAATGCAGTTGATGAATTCTGCATATTTCTACTGGCTGCTGCTGATAGCACAGTATGGCACCACTTTTAAATAGAGTATGAATTATAAAGAGAAGAGATGGGAATATTCAGAAATTCACTGTGATTACATATTGTTTCATGTTCTAACTGTAGGATCTGTAGTCCCACCATGTCATTTCAGATTTCAAGTGCATCCATGTTTGGGTGCTGTCTCTGGTAGCCTCTCTTCTGTGTGCCCTACAGATGCGTACAGCAACTGATTCCCATCTTGAAGGCAGCGTGTCTGAAATCATTAATAACCATAATGCCTCTTAGATATTGCCTTACTGTTTGACAGCAGGAAAAGGCTGCTTGACAGTAAATGTTTTGAGTTTTGCTTTTTTTTTTTTTTTCCAGGGTTGTTCTTGCTGTCCTCTTTAACACAACCTGCTTGTTCAAAGCGCTTGTCCTTATAATGTGCTTGTTTTTTTGTCGCAACTGCTTCAGCTTTAGGAACCTTTCATAAAGTCTCATTATGTTTTTAATTTCTCTTTATTTATCTCTCTCCTCCTTTTCTCTTCTTACAGTAGCTTCCTTGGGCACACTCCACATCAGTCCTGGCTTCAGAATCAAGAGGGAACTGATGTAGGAAACATGCTTATGTGTGAAAAAGCAGCAAAAGGATTCTAGGCAGCCTCTTCAAAGCAGGTCACTTTCCCAGTCATAACCTCACATTTTCCCTCTGTCAGCTTTTAAGGTTATCTTGAATAATCTTGTTCAATTGTATTCAATTAAGACATACATCTGTTATGATGATAAAGCAACTTGCTTTGCTGTGGTAAATTGGATACTTCTTTACATCTGATGCATCTTACAGGAATATTTGCTTGTTTTATTAAGTCCATATTTTCCCTCTTTCCAATCCACTTCAACATGGAGAAGATATATGTATTTATATATATATAAAAATATATAAAGAGGAAGGTGTCCCTTGATTAAATGTTGCCTGTGTCAGTGGTTTGGTGACAGACACAGTGGGTCTGTGAGCTACTGTTTCCTTGTCTGTCCCTAGCTGTCAGTTCAGATCAAAGTGAAATAAACTCAAGAGATGTCTGCCTTTTAGCGACTGTCAGTCCATTCGACTGGTATCTGATCTGTCCCATCTCTGTCAGGGTCTTGTATGTTCCTACAGCATGGCAGTATAATCTGAGATCTTTATTTCAACTACTTAACCTTTCTTCAACCTGTGCTTCCTCATCTCATGTAAGCAGACAAAGCGATAGCTGAGAAGTGTCCTTTTCTTCATTTCTTTCCTAGGACTTTTAGGCTGTAGTTTTTTCAACAAGGAAAACAAAACATAAACATCTTCACACAGCTCTAAAAGTAGTCTCAGGGCAAGTAGATAACTCAAATTTCTCAAGGAATCCCGACTTTGTTTCTAATAGGTCTCTGTTCAGACTGAATCATTCCTCATTATTCCACAAGTGTGGAGAATTCACAGTGCTCTTGACTGGAGGTAAGTGAGACTTCTGCACTCCAATACATTTACATGTCCTAAAACCAGAAGAATTTCCCTCTGTGCATCTTTTCTGTGCCTCGTCTTTGTTTAGACTAGACTTTTTCCAGGCTTACACCTTCTGCTGTGCTTCCCCTCCCCTTGGCTGCTCTTGTTATTCATTACCACACCCTGACTGATGCTTTGAGAATACAGCTGGCAGTTTGATGTTAGGTGAGTCAGTCATCAGGCAAGCAGTGACTCCACCTCATCTATGGTGATGTTGTTTTCAGAGTCTCCAACTGCTGAGACTTTGAAAAGGGGGGTTGTTTGGGCCATGTGTTCCTTGGAAGCCCTCAAAACATGATAATTACGGCGATTTAGCAAGGGGTCCAAACCTGTTAAGCTCTTTGGGGATAGACAGAGAACAGTAATGATGAAAGTGGTTGAAAATAATTGTAGACAGTGTTAGTTATAAAACTTGTTCACATTGTCTTTTACCTCCCATTGAAAACCAAGTTAGTTTTGAGGACATTTTTGGAAGCTGCTCTTCAGGATGCAAATTCTTTTGTATCTCAGTAACTAGTAACATACCAGAAGTGTGGAACTTAAGTGGAGTAAATAAAGAACTCATCTATGCAGAGTTCTTTTAATCCCAATTGGAGCCGAAAATAAAAAATTGCATCACTGTAGTGACAAATTAAGGCCAGTGCCCAGCTCTACTTTGTAGACCTAATGCAGATTCTGCAGATAACAAAGGAGATCTTTTCACTGACTCTAATGACCTTTGGACCAGTCTGTTACTGATTTGTTATCATGCCTCAAGAGTCACAAACTGGCCCATAGATTGACAAGTAATCTAGGTAAACCTGACAGATATTTTATTTCAGAAGTTGTGCTTACATGTCACAAAACTATCAAATCAGCGATGGCAAGCAGTCTCCTAAGGATTATGTCTGTATGAGGCTGGGAATGTTTTACCTGGATGGTGGTGTATGTGTCTGCAGCACTGCAGAAGGCAGGAAGAACTGGAGAACTTTTGTGTGGACACTAATAGAGCTGACAGAACATCAGAGTTTCCTTCTGATTCATGTTGCAGACCCTAATGCAGGAACATCTGGCCCGGACATGAATCAGCTCTTGATCTGCTCTATGCTGTTGGTAAAATGTGAAGTATTAAACAGATCTGATTTTGCTGGACTGAAAACTGGCAGGTGAGAGTTTGATTCCAGGCAGGATAAGCTACCATACATTAAGGGTAGCAATGTTCATCAGAGGGAGGAGCACATGGCAGGCAGTGGCTACAGCTCTGTTTTAATCTGAGAGTCTGTCTTGGTAGAGGGTGAGTGTGCTTCAATAATTGGCTAATTGACTGCGGGCCTTTGGGGGTGATATGTGTTGCTGGTAGATATTGAAAGGAACAAGGCGAGGTGCCTTGTGGATTAGTTAGGAAAAGAGATCTGTGCAGAGAAACACCACGGAAGAAGTCATGGAGAACTATGGTGGCTGCTGCTGGGGTCATTGGTGGAACAGGAAGAAGAGCAACAAAGAGATGACATCCAGGTCTACAGAGATGACTTCTTGGTGCACGTATAAGAGCTTGTCCCCAAGTAACTGTAAAGTTTTGGCAATATTGGTTGTTTAACTTGGAGCTGCGTCTGTCAACTTTATATCAGTTACTGAATTTCTGTTTGTAAAGGCTGTGATTAGTTCATTTCTCACCATTTTATTTATTCGTAAAGGTCTCGTGTTTTCTTTCTCTGGTACCCTTCACAGAGCTGCACCAATTCTACAGACCCAAGCTGCTTTTGAAAGTGTGGAAGGAATAAGGCTTAGTTTCCTGCAGGCTGTAGGGCTTACCTTCCCTGCTATTCCTAGTAATCCATGTACCTCGCTTACTTGTCCTTGCCCCCTACCAGAGGTTACTGCTTTATAAGATCTCTTCCTCTGCTTCCCAGTAGGGTGCAAGTGCCAGGGAATCTTCCAGCCTTCCTGAAAAGTTGAATCTATGATGAATRATTTATGTAATTCTTTTCTAAGCTGCATTTGCGCCTGTATCATCAAGTCTTTTCAGTGAACTGTGTTTAAAATGATCAAAAATAACCAYGCAGTTGCAGGAACCCCAGGGCCGAAGAGGACTGCAAGTCACCAAAGTTAGACAAGTACCTGTGGAAGGGCTAACCAGTACCCTACTTCTGCCCTGCAGGATTCCTGCCAGGGCTGGTAGTGTCCTGGCTACTTGGTGTAGCGTTGTCTGTTGGCCGTGCAATTCAATGATGTACTCTGAAAGGCAAGCCGAAGGACTGAAGTATAATGTTAATTAATATGCAGAGTGAGGACTTCCAAGGAGATTAAGATGTGTTTATGTAGCTGTGTATGAATGTGAGTTTCTGGTAAGTCTTGAAAAAACACTTCCATCTGCTATGGTGGATTATAAGCACAGGAGAGCAGTTTCTCATGATTCGGATCATATATCCTCCATTTTTTGACAGCTTTCCTCACACCTTTATTGCTCAGACACAGCAGCGGGTTTGGTGGCTCATTGGGCTGTTACATACATGAGAAATAGGCAGCAAGACTGCCCCATTCCGTTGTTTGAAATCCCAGTCTCTGAGGTTCTAGGACTTTCAAACTCATATCATCGACTGAAACTCATGACCTTTGGTTCAAATTTCAGTTTTCAAACTATCCATTTTCTGCCCAATGATATATGAGGCCTGCATCAGGATCAGCACATGTGTTTCTCTGCCTGGAGATCTGCAACTTGTCCTTCTTCATGGCTGTTGGCATACTGAACCTTGAAGGGGATCTTTCCTCCCTGGGTCCCATCCCTGCCCAGAATCCCTCTGGATGCATTTCTCACTTTTCAGAGACCTCTTGTTGGAGTAATGAACTTTGTTGAAAATAAGTGGTTTGATGGTGGCCTAAGCTCTTCCAGTCTCTGCTTACATTGTGCCTTTTCCTGTCAGGCAATTGCATTTTCAGTAGCTCAAAAATGAGGCAATTAAAAATAATGCAGGCACATGGTAAATCTGATTTGCTATAAAACATTGCCACCTCAAGCTTGGACTTTGGGAGGTGGGTGGCTGGGCAGGGAGAGCTATTCAAAAACAGTAGAAATAATTTCTTACAAACGTAGTAGTGATGCTTTTTTAAACAGATGACTAGTCCCTGACTGAACTGAGAGCACTGAGAATCTAAAATACAGCTGATGAATAAATTACATAAAATCAACTGTATTATTCTCGCATTATGGCCAGGGAAAGCTGCCACACTTTCCCTTTTGGTAAGTGATGGATTTCTTGGTAGTGCAATGCATCTGAGACTTGCTCAAGAGTGTAGGTGTTTCAGGCTGCAACCTCTTACCTTAAACGAACTGTTCATCGGTCACGTCAGTAACTTCAGCAGATGGGGAGCTTCCTGGTGGCCCCACATGCAGAGAAGTGTGACAATTAGTATGTTTGGCTTCTCAGACTTTCTTGCTTCTCTTCCTTCCCTGCCCTTGTTTTCCTCTATCCTTGTTAGTTATCAGGCTCCCTGCAGGAACTGTGATGCATTTTTGCTCTTGCCCATATTTGCCCACTTAGGAAAAAAACAGGATTAAAAAAGTTATTTACTTTGGACATTTAATGGTAGTGGACTTGTGCAGTACTGTCAAGACTCCCTGAGGCTTCATTCATTAGCAGGAAATGGTATATGAAATGGAATTCTTTAGAGAAATCTCTCTTTTTTCCCTTATAAAATGAAAACTGCTTATTTAAGAAGGCATCATATACAGGAAAAACAAAACAAAAACAAAACAAAACTTGAAGAAGTTTGAAGTGTATGGACTGCTCGTAGCCACCTTCTCTGAGAATTTATTCAGCAGTTGTTAAACAGAAAAGCCCTGTCACGGGCAGAGGTCTGCTGGTTGTCATGTATATGAAATACTGCAAATATCTTCAAAGTTACAGATTCCTTGGTTGACCGTGTTGTGCATTCTTCAGCCTAGGAGCATCGAACATGAAACAAGGAAAACTTACTGAGATTTTTTTTCTCCAGGGTAATGGACCCATGTGGTAAAACTACTGTAGCACAGAGAGGGAGGAACAAACATTTCTAAAAGGAGTGTTCAAGAAAGTGTCTTTATATTAGGAAAGATGTGATTGAGAAAATACTGTGCATTAACTGCAAAAATCACTAAATCTTGTGTTTAGACCAGTGAATAGAGAATAAGACATGTAGTTTTTGTTTTTCACTCTCCTGATGGTGTAGTACATGAAGTAGGTATCTCACATAACAAGAACGTTTAAAAACAGTGGAAACCTTGAGCAAAACACAAGAGATACTTCTGTATTTGCAATCCATAGCATGAACATTACAATCCCACATAGAAATATTTTAATTTCATATAAATTATTGTTCATATAATTCCAAGGGCATTTGTGTATGTGTTTGTAAACATAATAATCAGATCCAGATAAGCTCAGCTACAGCAAAGCTATTTAGCAAGCATACAGCACAAAGATTTTCTGATGAAAACTTTCATTACTCCTCAGTGACTGGTATGTGACTGTGTTGCACAAGAGTACAGAATTCAGAAGGTCTGCACTGTATATGGATTAATCAGCCTTTCCTCTTCACTATAAGACTAGCCTACCTCAAACAGCTTTTTGCTAGGATCAGTCTCAAACAACTAAAGGTCCCTTTGAGCTGTGTGACAAGATTGCTGTAGGTTTAGCCAAAGATTCGTGTTTTTATTGCATCATGCAAGCAAATTTAGAAAGAGAATGTCTTGGTGCAAATGCTTCCACCCTTCCACTTCAGTAGCCAAATGGATTTGTACATTGTACTCATCACTGGCATGCAAGCTTTTGCATTGAAACATATCCTGTGATGTTCTGTTTATTTTTATTTTTTTGATGGCTTTATGTTTTTCACTCTACATTTTGTTTGCACTATCAGTAAGGACACCAAGAATCAACTGTTGATGTTTATTGAATTGTTCATATTAAATGAACACTTCTGGGAATCTGACCACAAAAAGGAAAAACATTTGTTTGAAAGGATACAGATCAGAAATCCTTATCAGAAGAAAAGGATATCTGTTTGTTGCAATTGTAAATACCTAAGAAGACGAGAGCATGATTTCAGCCAGGAGGACTGCCATGTACATGAACCAGGATGGGGTCCAGGACCGAGTGTATGTAGGGGGGGGTCCCAGCTTGTGGTTTAGTTGTTCTGGGATGTATTGGCCCTTCGTGCTGTGCAGGTTCCTCAATGAAATGTGTTTTTGTGACAGTTCCAACCCAAAGTAGGAAGCCAGTCRTGTTCTGTTCAGTTTGGACAGAGTCCTTAGCTCTGTTCAGTGTGTGATACCTGGACAGACTGTGGTACCTAGAGGGTATGCGTCCCATTAATTCATTTGGAAGTGAATATCTATTGAGTTTCATTTTGAAATCACTGGCATATGTTCTTTTTTTTCTCCCTCCTATTCATTGTCTAATTTCATTGACATGAGATGAAACTATATATTTATTCTTCTTTAGTAGCATCTGAACAAATATTAAAGAGTCTATTTTAGTCCTTTAGAACAGAACCTTGGACACACATCTTGAGGCTAGTCCAATAAGTAACTGAGCACTCCTGACTTCCCAAAGCAAGGGAGAAGACCCTCAGCACTTGCCTCGCCCATTCAGGTGGGACCTCCAGTTCCTTTACTTTAAGTGTGTGACAAAGCCATTAACTTTGATGGGAATGCTCACATACTTAAAGATAGGTGCAGCAGGCCAGGAGTGGGGAGATGAAAGGGGGTGAACAGGTTTTTTTAGTGCTCTGGCAGTTCACTTCACCGCATGTGCATGTTTACTTTCTCATTCCTCTGCTTCACTCTCCCATGCTAATCCCCCTCCTGGGTGCTGACGTTTTTCTTCTACCCTGCTGACATTTTCTACTAAATCAAGCAATAAACTGCCTTCATTGCAGCTGAAGGACTCCTGAAAGTCACAGGGGGCTGCATAATATGGGTTTTTAGTATCCAAGTACCTTTTCCCAGGATGCTGGCGTTTCTCCACATGCTGGTCCCTCAGGTCTCGCTCATCATTCCAGCCTCTACTGCCAGGATGCTGAAGCTTGTACGTCAGATACCTTTTGCCTGGATGCTGTCTTTTGGATAACTCATTCAAGTAGGTTAGCTGTGCGCGAGGGGTGTCAGCATGCTGGTCCCACAATGACCGTCTGCCAGGATGCTGTCGTTTTTTCAGCTCCAGGTAGCTGTCAAGGTCACCTTCTTCCTCTCTTTTCCCTGGATGCTGTCTCCTCTCCAGGTCACTTAGATACCTCTTTCCAGGATGTTGTCTTTTGGAAAGCCATTCTGGCAGAGGGGTGTTTGATTCTGTCCAAGGAGAAGAATAATGTAAATGAACCCACATGATCCTCACTGAGGAAGTTGAAATGTGAATTTGTGGAGTACTGTGGTGCAGGATCATATTCTTTTGCTTATCACACCCATTTAATTGCACGATATCTGTGTAGCCTTGAATGTAATCACTGTGAATATGGAAATAGCTGTGGGAATTGTTCTGGCGCAGTTGTAGCGAGGATGAGTGGATATATTAGGAAGTAGCAGCAAACAAAGTGGGAAGAAATCCAGTGGCAAAGCCTAACATGGTGAACATGCCCTGCTCTCAGCATTCATGCAAAGGAGGAGGAAGGCTGTTTCTGTAGGTACTTCGGGGCCAGCTGTTTTTTTCTGCTCTGAAAAGGAGGCTCCCTGCTCCTTGGTAGAGGCAGGCCCCTCTGCACTTCTTACTCTCTCTATCTAATTTGCCTCCAGTGCTGTGACTGGTGGGAGCAGAGTGTGTGCAGACAGTTAGGAGGGACTGAACCAGAGCAGCCCCTGCGTTCCCGGCCATGGCAAAGCCCTCCCCTACCAGGTGCAGGGGCCAGTGGGGTGAGGTAGCAGCTGGATGGGAGCACTCCCACCGCCAGGGAACAGTGGGGACAGGGTCCACAATTAGGGAATGTGTTCCATATGTCCTCTTGGAGCTTTCTAGACAGGCAGGTTTTCTATATAGGCATCTAACTTTTTTTGTATGCAGCAGCTGCTCAGTGTTGCCAGAACAGATCCTAAGCTGGAAGGTCTTAGGACTAAGTCCCTTTGGAGAATTTTCCATGAATGGATTATAACAGACCTTATATCTTTTCCCTTCTCTTAATCAGAATAATACATAGAATATGCATTAGAACCTCGGAACTAACTGCATTGGAGCTAATGATCCTCAGCCAAGAACTACTGGCAGCAGCATGAGAGAGATGTCCCCATTGTTATATATACCTTTACTGATCTTTTCTTCCTCAGCTTTCTTGAGGACAGATTGAAGGATGAGGCTTTCTGCCTCCTGCGTGTTGTCATCCAAGGGCCTTTGTTCCCAGTTGTCGCCTCTGTCCAGAAGGGGCTGCCTGCGGCGCAGGCAGTCGGCGCCCAGGCTCAGGCAGAGGAGCAGCAGTGGCAGCTGGAGAGCCCGCATTGTGCCACGGCACCTGCAGCTTCCCTGGCAGGGAGAAGCGCGGGGAGGCTGTGCAGCAAAAGGAACACAGTAATGAGAGCAGTATTCCCAGATATTGAAGAAGAGACATGGCACTGCTGGTGGCCACTGAAGTCTCTGAGCAAAGTCCCTCCCGATTTCTGTTAAGAGTGCTCTTGGTTTATCTCATGGTCTTTGAAGAATCTGTAAATTCTTCATGACTGAAACTAAGGACTACGTGTTCATTTTTCTGGCAGAATAAGAGTTAACACTTTATACACTTAACTTCATGGTGCACAGGTAATTCTGAGAGTCAGTTATTTTGCCTTTTGCCAGAGGCAAAAGTAATTTCCCTCTTGAAGCCTTTGTAACCATTGCTGCACATAAAGTACATGCACATACACATTTAAAAATCATGTTCGCCACATGATTCTGTGTAAGAGTTCATATGAAAATGAATCAGGATTTGTAACACTTCGTTGTGTATAGCAGTTTAAAGTAGCTTGTTTTCTCTCTGTGTGTCTGTATATATTTGTCTATAAAGTTAGACAGCTGCACTCTGTTGGTCAGGAAGATTTCACAGAAACTTCCTGCATTGCTAAAGCATTTCACATGTCTTTTAAAAGACAAATATTAATAACCATACCCTCTTTTACCATTTACACAGGTAACAAGTGGTTTTCAATTTCTTCTAGCCAGCAGTGGAGTTTCCAAGATACCTATCACTGATTTATTTTGCAGTAAGTGGAGGTTATTTCAGCTGAATGTAATACATCTTTAATATTAGTATAACATTCATTTAGCTTAATTACATCTCCAACATGTAAAAGAAATGTACACTGTTAGGAAGTTCTACCAATTTTTACATTAGAGAATGAGTTTATTACCTGTCTTATTGGCAGGTTTCTGTCACCTCTGATAATGCCCCTGAGAACTGCCCCAAGAGTATCACACAAGCTATTCTGCTCAAAGCAATCTTAAGATAGAAAGTTAGAGTAATGAGCCAAAAAGGAAATGATTTGGTTAATTACCTGCTTTGTAGTTTAAGATTTTTGCTTGATGCTTCTGCCAAGAGATTGCTCAGTCCTTTAAAGCTGTTTGCACATCTGAGCTTAGAAGTTGCCCTTTCTGTGCTACAAACAAATGCAGTATCCAATCGAACTGCTGCTAAGTTCCCTTTGGATGGCTTGTGTCTCCGTACTTATACTGTGCTGCCTCTGGATCCTTTATGCAAATAGCCATGAGGTAATTTGGATGATATGTTGCTTTGTGTGTGTACCTTTTTTTTTTTCTATTGATGTCAGCGATTTGAGTTTTGAATGCAGTTTAAAACTGTGGTAGTTATTTGCAGACCTTCTTGTATTCATGATGGACTTGTAGAAACTGCATTTTTTTCTATTTTGTAAAGAGATGATGTTGAATTTTATGTAACACACAGCACAGAGAAAAGGAGTTATTTTTTCTGCTTAAAATAAGAAGCTCATGCATCTTCTATTAAACAAGCACTGTGGGGTAAACGCAAAGGGAGAGGTAATTTGTCAAGCTAGGGAAGAAAAACGATGAAAAAAACTGTGATGGATGATGTTTAAACAAATTTGGACCATGGGTTCTCTTTCTGAGTGATACTAAATAATTTTTGACTTACAATTCTATGTATTCTTGTCATAGACTTCCATGAAAAATGTAGTAGAATACAGTGTGCACAGCATTATATATTAAAAGAATGGTTGTTACTATAACCCTTGTAACTGGAAATAAAACTACTTCTTTCTACCTGTCCATCTATTTATTTAGATATTTTTCCACACAGTGCTACTCAAAGCAGATCATACAGAGGATACAGATAAAGGGCTAGTGATTCTTTGCTAAGCTTAGTGATCCTGATGACAATGTAGAGAGAGGACTAAATCCCAAGTAAGGATTGCTCACAGTGATAAGGTGATGCAGGATTCAGCTCATTTCTTTTACTGTTATTACATGGAGGATGACGATCAAGTGAAGTCATTTTTTTCTTTCCTTCTTACTCTCAGGGTATCACAAACACAAACTCACTTGTGTGTGTCCTCCTCAAGTTAAAATTTGTCTTCAGCAGTAAGTAGTGGCAGAAACCAGCAGCCTGTCAGTGTGACTTGAAAACACCTTCCTTGATACAACAGCATTGGTGTGTACCTGCTTTCTTTGCTGCTGTGTCACCTGTCAGTGCTGCAGCCTGAGCCAGAAAGCATTCTGGAGATGCACTTAAAAGCACGAGACTAAAGATATGCAAGGATCAACAGAAATGTTACTGTAGCTGGTTAGCAAAGAGTGACAACCAATAACAGTTCCTCATCCAAAGAAAGGATTGTTGTAAAGATCATTCCTATCTTTAGGTGTTTTTGTTTTCAAGGAATACATAAGGGCTTTATAGGAATCTGGAGAATGCTGAGAAATGTAAATATTTTCATTTGTATCAGAGTTACTTGGTTAACAGAGTAGTAGGTGTCTTAGTGACTTAACCTCTCTTTTGCCCTAACAAAAGATCTAGTCCAAAGTCCAGTGAAATCGGTCAGATTTTTTCTTTTAATTTAATTGGGGTTAGTTGTAGAACCTGTCTCACTCTGCTTTGAAATCATCTACGAGTTGATTTCAAAGATGAGAGAGAACAGCTGAAACCCTTTCACATACAAAATAATATAAGCCRATTAATATATAAAATTCCTAGCTTTCTTTTGAGGTAAAAATAGCCTTCCATATGAATGTATTTCATCCTTGCACTGAGTGAATGAATCAGATTGCAATTGCAGTGTAGCAGTTGACATACAGAATTTCTTGGCTGTCTGGAAATGATAGGATAGCTGAGACTTAGCTTTGGAACTCTATAAGACATCAGCTTAATGAATCTGCATTTGCCACATGTCTTCTGTATGAAAATCCTCCTGATGTCTAATTGTAAGCTGAAAATAATTCTCCCTCCAGTGTGAAATTAATCTGACCAGCACAGAAGTCCTGCACGTGTAACTATTGTTTAGATACAGCAGGAGCTGCTCCCTCTAAAAGCCTCTCTCTGTGTGCTGCAGTAGTCCAGTGCATGAGACAATGAGGTCTTCTGTGTTCAGCATCCTGTATGCCACCTAACCATAGCTTACTGTCTTTGAAAGAATGTCCACCCATCATCAGCCAAACTGTGGCCACTGAATTTCTCTGTACAAGCTAACAAGCCTTGTTTGCCATTGAACTATTTCTTGAATATTAAATACTAATGCTGTGGGTTTGTAAATTTCTATTGTGCCAGTCAAAGTGATTCCCATAGTGAATTGCATCTGCTTCACACGAGCTGCCTAGCATTTCCTGGACATGGTAACTACTTAAGATCTCTTGTGGTACCACACCAGAGTTTAAAAAGTGATTTTACTGAGCTATAAATTAAAGTGGGCATCGATTAAAGGGAAAGGGGATTTACACTTTTAAACATGTCTTTAGAAAATGTCTTTGCAAGAACAGTGAAGGTGCTAAGAATTCTGTTCCTGACTTCCTGCATGGCTTTCTTGATAAGCGGCTGAAGCCAAGCATGCCTTCTAAATAAAATTAAAAAAAAAAAAAAAAAAAAAAAAAAAAAGACCTTCTCCTCATGTGTGCGAAGGCTTCAGAATGGTTTCTTAAGCTCACTTTGTTACAGTTTTTCCTTCAGTCCATCACATTTCCTCTTTCATTTTAGCCTTTTATACCATACTCTTTTTAACATAAAAGATTTGGGGTGTTTTGAGCATTGTAACTAGTATCTGGCACAGAGAGTTTATTCCTTCTGCCTCTTCCCAAGGACAAGAAGTGTATGAAGAAGTTGATGTGTTTCGGCAGGACTTCTTTTAAAGTAGAGGTTACTATCTATGTGAAGAGGCAAGGTCAAAGAAATTTTTCTTGCCCAGGGAGCACAAGGTGAAGTTTGTGCAGATTGTTATTTTCGAGGGGACATTATCCACTAATCTTGGGCCAGCCTTTTACTGCCTCTTGGATGTTTTCTCACAGGCCATCAGGTACCAGGAGCAATCAGGGATTTCACAAGTCCCCCAGTCTGAGCAGTTTTCTGATATGCATATGTTTTCCTCACTAGTTCCTCAATAGCCTTACTAGGAAGCTGGTCTCAAAAGTCTGTGTTGTTTTGGGCTTCTTTTTTTTTTTTAATCACCTAAAATGTGTGTATAAAACTTCAGTTTACAGGAATTATTTTGCAACAGAAACTTGTTTCAGTGGTACATCCCCAGTCAGCTCTTGGACATGGGATGTTCTTATTAAACTGTCACCTGCAACCTATTAAGTCAAAAGCAGAAGCAAAGGTTTGCAAGACAGACATTGCCTTCACTCCTGTGACCTATAGTCAACTACAGTGATTGTTTGACTTATCAGTATCTCCTTCCCAGACACCACTGGTGTCACTGTCTGGTTAAAATGTTGTCTAACTTGAATCTGCTTCAGAATGCATATTTTATCAGACACACATGAGATGACTGGATTACTGCATTTATTCCTTTCCTTTCAAGAATATAACAAAAAAAAAGTGTGTTCTGTGATGCTGTCAAGAGCGTAGAAGAACAAGTATGTGGAAGCTGAAGTTAAAAATTGTAGGTGAATTCACATTCCTAGCTATGAAGCAGCCAAGTAATTTTTCAAGTATAGCCTTGATATTGCTTGGAGGTTTAGAAATTAGATTCATTTTCTTATGTCAGCAGAAATGTTTTAATGAGACATTTGAGAAAAAAAACATTCAGGATGAGAAAAATGTTTTCCTCTGAAAATGCAGGGATCTTGGTGACAGTGGCCAGAGCTTCTGCTCAAAGGGCCTTTCTCTCATAAACAGGGATACTGAGATTGATGTTTCCTCATCCTGTAGCAGTCTGAGCTCTAAGAACATAAATACTTTAACCAAAATTTTTGACCTGATATAAACTGTCTGGCTGAAACTTATCAACCCGTGTTTGGATTAAATTTTAACTAATGATCCTTTCTGACCAAAGACTCTCTAAAATAGGAAATACTCAGTAATGAAGAGCTATGTAAGACTGCAATGCAGTCTGATTCGCTATTGCTGCGCTTAGAAAGAGCAGTATTCCAGAGTATACTGAAATGAGTCCAGAGAGTGTCTTGCACCTGCACGTCTGACTGTAGTGGCGACTGAATTACATATCTGCAAATGAGAGCAGGACATCTCTAAAGAAATCGTTCCTTTTGTCCGGGCAGGACCTCTGGCACCCAGTCAGAACAGGAGCAGCACCTCCAAACTGATTGCTGGATGTTCCAGATAAGCTCGTGGTTACTGGCGCAGATGTACTACATAGCACAAAAATGCATGCAGATCCCTCATTCCTGTATATAGGGGCTAGAAGTTCTCTTTTTCTTAGGAATACTCTGACAGAATAAGCCCTCTCTGTGCCACCCTAATGCCAGGACAGAGATCCGGCACTGTTCAAGGATACCTTTTCCCTAGGAGTCAATTCAAGGAGAAGATTCTCTGGGTATTTTGGATACAAAAATCGGAATTAGTTGAATTCTGCAAGATGAAATTTGAACTAGAATACAAGCCCATGTTTATATTTTATAACCGTACTTTTATAAAAGAGGTTCCCTTACCCATTAATTGAAACAGAATGTCAAAAATTATTCAGAGAAGCACATGAAAAGAGGTCAACTTGTTTTTATTGACATTAACATTTGCTTCTTTACATCTCTTGAGTTGAGGATTCTCTTTAGAGGAAATTTTGAGAAAGATGTAATCCCACATTTCAAATATACCCCCATGCAAACCTTCCCAGTAGATGCAAAGTTATGCCCATAGCACAAAGTCGAGGGCTTCCAGTCAAGCCCCTTGGCTCTGATTGTTTAGGTGATTTGTGTCATTGCTGAGTAGCTTGGGAAGCATACTGAATTTAGCAGAGCTCTAATGCTGTTGTTCAAAGGAAAAACGATAAATACTTCAGAGAGACCTTGTTTCATGAACAAATGTTCATGAGAAAATCCCTCTTTAATATACTATCTTCTCTCACATGTCTATGTGAGCATTTTTACATCTTTCCTGGGACATCTTGCTCTGGTCACTGTCAGAGATAGGTTATTGAAGCAAATTGGTCTTGTTTAGTTTAGCCATCCCTTTGGCAAACATGAAGTGTGGAAGTTGCTATGGAAACTGCTCTTCTTTTATTGAACTGCAGGGGGAAAAAAAAAAAAGGTTGTGTGAAATTAATGCAGAACTTGCCAGTGCATTTATTACCAGTTTTACTGAGAGATGCTGAATGTGTAAGTAGTTTGTCCTATTCCACACAACCACAGTGGCAGTCAGGAAGAGAGTCCATTCCCCTTGTTCCAGTCACTTTGAAAGGCTTTCCTTTATAAAAATAGCTTCATTTTTTCTTTTTTTCCAAAGGAGCACACCTTTCTCATTTAAAAGGTTGCTACTTTTGTGTATAAAGTGGAGAAAAATATCTCCACTGATTATTTAAAGCACTGCATTAATTTGTATCAAGTGTACATTGTCACCAGTACTGTGGTTTCTTATTTCCCTTCTCTAAGGGAAACCCTCTTAAATGTCTACTGAATTATAGCTCCTGCAGTGACTGCAAGCCCGTGCTGTTCTGTCTGAGCCTCCACTTGTTAACAATGTTGTAAATTAGGAATAACTTGATTGCTTGAAAAAAACAAGAGACAACTCTTTTGTTATCTTAGAAGAATCTAAAAGCACAGCCTGTTTATATTACTCCTCCTAATTAATTCCTGAATGAAACTGATGGGAGTGGAGGGGGATGAAAGAAATGGGTTGCTTTTATTAACCCAATGGTTGCTTTTATTAACCTGACAGTAGGGTTGGATGAGACAGCCAAGACTGTCAGGAATACAGACCTTCCTCTGAGATGAGAAAAGGATTTAGTGGCTGAAGGTTTGTCTCCTTTCTTACAGCTTGAAAAGAGTTTATGATTCCCCCTGGAATTGTAAGTGCCTGGTTTTGTTGTTGTTTTGTTTGTTTGTGTTTAAGTTTTGTTTTGTTTTCCCAACTCTAGCAGTCACTATAACAGAAAGCATTGCCTCTAAGTTAGAAATCTTATATTAAATCCTAATCATTTCTGGAGACAGGGTCCCAAACCAAGTATATCAGTTGAGGCCACAAAATTCATTTGCTAAATTAAGGAGCCTAAAGTGTGTTTAATGATTTCTGGACTAAGCTTCAGGAATGCAGCCCAAGGTCGCCAGAGCCAGTACAGACATAACTGAGATTCTTTGTGGTAGACAGGCCCAAATAGACAAGCTCCACGGTGGTCAGCAGGAAAGTGTGTCACACCCAAGCTGATTTTGCTGCAGACTGATCAGAAGGCTGAAACAGGAACAATACCCTGTTTTCATTTTCCATCTAAGTGCTAACACTTTTCCTTCCAAAGAAATCAGTTTGTAATATGAAATTTGTAGAGTTCTTGGTCTTCCCCATCCTTCAAGAAGGGCCAAACTAAGGTCATTCATTGCTGAACTTGAAGATTTTCCATTCATTTTTGGTAGTTAGAGTTAAAATCTAGAGGAGGTGGGGGGAATGAATATAACTCCTCTTCCATGGCCTTTCTTTGCTTCAGCATTGAGCCCTGGCCTTGCTGCTGCTGCTTGTCTCAGTTCAAAGGAGGGCAGTGGAAAATGTGTTTGTCAGGCAAGCTCTGAGACCTTTTTCGGAGTGGCTGGTAGTTAAAGCTGGGCAACTGAATTGGACCAGAGGATCAGGTGAAATCACTGCAAGCTCTGAGGGCTTCTGAGGAAGGTCACTTGAAAATGACTTGAAAATGGTGAGGAGCAAAAGTAAAGATTTTGCTTTGAAATTTCTGGCACTTTTGTTTGCCACGCTTTTTTTCCAGGATCCCAGAAATAGCAGAGCTATCTTCGGTAATTATAAGCCCGAGATTTTTGTAGTTTTGAAAACATTGAAGCGCTGATGCTTGAACTCTTGAATTCCTTGAGACTAATAGGAACTCCTTTAAGGAAACTTCATATTTGAGGGATTAAATGTCCTGTCTTAAATAATGAATAGGATGAGTATTGAATGAAATGAAGACATTAATTTCTGTGCAGAGAAATGCTTAATAGAATTACTGAGTAAATTCCACAAGGAATGCGCACAAGTTCCCTCTCGTATTTAAATGAATAAAGGCCAGGAAGGTTATTATATTAGAGGGAAGGGGGTGTGTCCCGCATAACATTAAAACTGCTGCTAAAAGAAGTATAAATAGCATAATGTTGATTATATCAGCTAAATCATTTTATAGTTTAATGATGAGGAGAAACCAAAGCATCATGTAGTTAATCCTACGTGTTGTTTTACTGATAGACTTTTCAATGCTAAACAACACATTATGGAGTCAGAACTTGACAGGCTTAATTGCATACTTAGGAGTCAGCCTAACTCACAGTTTGTACCTTCTGGGATAGTGGCAGTTTAGAATTAAATATCTCAATGGATTCACTGTATTGATTCTTTATTTTGTAATTATCTCCAAATGTTTATGCAGAGTAATTTCTATAGCTTTCCAGTCAAATGGAAACCCTATTATTTATGAAGAAAGTGGTTAACTTCAGAAAGAATGTCACTGTATCGTGTGTCTTATTCCTGCCACAAACCAAATAATGTCACCTAAAGAAAATAAGCAAGACAGAGCCCTATGGCACCAACTATTGAAAACAACAGCTGCCCAGCCTATTGTTTTATCTCAGTTACTAATGACAGCACTCCAGAGAGCCTTGTTCAGTGCCAAAAAATTAGTCATTGGACAAAGCAAACTTGCCAGAATATTGCTTCTGACCTGGAGCTGAAGTCATGGTGTAGGAAGCAGAGATTCAGGGGGATCTGATTTGGTGTTACAGAAATGGTGGACAACCAGCTTGCTTTTGAGCAACTTTCCCGATTCACTTTGTATAGTAACATACAAGTTTGTTTGGAGGTTTGAAAGTAAGAGATTACTATTTCTCATAATAATAAGAGTAACATGCTAGTTTGTTTCTTTTATGTTATTCTTTTACACTTATTGCTAACACACCCTAATTATGCTATAGGAATCATATTTGAACATGAAAGAAAGCAAATTAGGAAGCAAGAGAATAGAAAATAAGAGTTTGGCATAAAGTATTTGAAAGGGCTGGTTTGGGTTTTAAAAGCTCTAGTCCTCAGCTTGCCAACCTCTCCTTTCAAATTCGGCACAGAGCACATATGAAAATCCAATTTGCCAGTTTTCAGCCTGGTAAGATGTCAAAGATGCAAGGCTTGGAAGTTCCTGAAGATTTGACGTATGCAATATGTTCCCAATGTTTGGGAATCAGAGACCACAGTGAGAGCACATGAGAAAAACACCGAGTATGAAGGTTCCGTAACTGGCCCTGCATAGCTGAGTGTAAAACATCTTCCTCTGAAATGCAAACGTTCCTATAACAGCTTTTAATTTTTTATTTCTTGTTATTGTTTTCAGTTGTTATAAACAACAGTCATTAATTTGTGTAGAATACTCAGTAAAGTGACCTCAAGGCTTGCTTTAAGGAGGCAATATAAATATGATTAACCTTCAAGTTGTCTACACCGATTTGATGAGAAAGGGAACTAAAGCCAGTGACAGACCCACATGATCAAGATAGCTGCATGGTGCCATAAAATACATAGTTCCCAGAAGCAGCTATTCTTAATGGAGGTGCAACCTAAAATCAGATGTGGAGAGGCATTTTGAGCAGCGAGCTGGTGTTACTAACAAAGTAAATTTCATGTATGAGAATTTCATGTCAGATATGCTGGCTGAACTGGAAAATGGTCAGTATAAGTACTGCCCCCTTCACCTCAATCGAGTGCTTGTGTGTATTATATTTTACCAATGAAGTGATTCTGACTTTTTCCAAATAGCTTTATTGTTCTAAGTAGTTACTAAGTTATTTGATCTACGCATTTTCTAATGGCTTTGTTTTGGTGAGCATTTGTTACTTTTCCTGCGGTAAGACTGTTCATTTTCTTTCAGATTACTGGCTGTTAATGGAATCCTGCAGTGCAGCAACACTGAAGATCAGAATCCTATTATGGTAATTATTATACAGAAAGAAAAATGAGACTGTCAATCCTAAGAGATGGGAATGATATGTTGTAAATGTACAAAGTGACTGAACAAAGTGAGGGGATTGAGTAGTAGAGTCAGCTGAGTTTGTCCTAAGTATGATATTGCAAGGGTTTTGATAGTTGCGGATCAACAGCTGATCAAGGGTAGGCAAGGTTGGTTTCAAATTACATTTTTGATCTACTTGAGTCTTTCTTTTCACATATGTACATCCCAAGGGAAGGTGCGTGAACTTGTAGTGCTAGAGTAAAAATTCCTCAAATCATGTTATCCCTGCTTCTTTTAAGTCTGTAAGAGACAGTCTATCTCCTATGAACCCTTCTGTCACCCCTGTCTCTCAGGCCTTTCGGACTGAGCCCAGATATGGGCAAAGATGCAGACGAGGGCAGTCAGAGAAGGCTTGTAGATGCAAACTGCCACAGCTGATACAGCTTTATAAAGCAGCAAGCTGGGAGGTGACACATGGTTATTTGGTTAGAATGGAGTTTAGGAACTGGGGCAGATTTATTCTATTTCTGTCTCTCCCATTGAATTCTTTTGCAACTCTTAGTGATGCATTAAAGCAGAAATCCAATTGTAGTTAAAGTCAGAGACAGTCTTTATATTGATCTTAACAGAAATTAGGTTAGGCCCTTAAATCCCCGAGTTTTGTGCTGTGTGTCCTCAAACCAGCAGACAGTGGTACTAGACAGTGGCTCTTGATGTTTGTGACAGACTTTGAAACTGTCAGATGGTGAGAAGTCAAAAGCATTGTTAATAGCTATACTTTAGGAAGCCAACAGAATTCACCGAGGCCAATGGACCTGGAATGCAAGATTAATTCAAGAAAGCAGTAAAACAAGAAGATGCATTTGATCACACTTCATTGAAGTGTGTGTGTGTGTGATATGAACACTTTTCTTGGCCAAGAAAATGTGAGGATCATGCGAGATCCTGTTAGATGGGCAGTTCTACAGGGTTCTTTTCTATGGACCAATGATGATTTTTATTCTTCAGATGCTCTTATTCATTTCCACCTTTCTTATCTAGAGCTKCTATCAAATTTGAAATCTTCTGTGTTGGTACCTAAAAGCTGGTATGATGGAGTTTTAGAACTATATTCCTGCAATGGCCAGAAATGGTCTTTGTATCCTACAGTGCAGAAAGATGGCTGAATTTAATCAGTGTTTTTCATCTTGTGGTACCAGACCATGTAGTGTTGGATTATTTTCTAAGGGATCAGCAAAAATATAATAAAAATATAATAATAAAAGCAACTCTTTTGTTAGTATTTTATATGTGCTCTATGATAATCTGTTCCACCTCTAGAAAATGCTTCTAGAAGTTTAAGTAGAATATGCAGCTATAGAATGCAACTAGAAAAAATCAAATTTGTTTGAGATTCTTTTTAGATCTGTATTTCAATGCTTGTATGATTCAGAGGCCATCAGGGAAGAAGCAGAGTTAAAACTTTAATAATCTTGCATTTCTGTAGCTATTATTGAAAAATGTGACCCAACATTTCTGCATTTTGAAAAGAAATGCCTCATCAGGAACAGGAAGCTGATGAATTGTGTCTCACAAACCTTTTGGAAGATCTCAGCAATAATCTGTGGTTATTTCTGAGCCTCCCCTACTCTTGTTGAATAAGCAAAGATCAAATCTTATTGTGTGGAGAAATTATGGAAATACCAAGGATCACCTGATAAACAGTGTCATTGATCATTAACTTCACTTTATAGCTCTAGCATCTTTTTGTCATTTGAATAACAAATGGTCTCTGAGCCAATATCAGAAGAAATCTTATTGACCTTTTACAACTGCTTGTGCTTTTATCAAAAAACGGTAACTTTGTCTTCATTAGAATCACTTTAAGTTCTGTATAGGGCCAGGTACTGAACAAAATCTTTCTATATACATGCATTTGCATAGGAAGAAAAAAGACACATAGCAGTTTTTTACTTGAAGCTACATACCCCTGGCTAATACAGTCTGCAGTGGTGAACTGAGAAACACTGCTACGTTGATATTAAGCTCATGCAACACACATGTGTGAGTGTGTCATCGTAGATCATCTGAAATGGGTTAAAATGTGGTCCATGCCTTCAGCTGAAGTTTGCTCCTATCAGTGGTGGTTCAGCTGCTTGTTGGTGTGGTTTGATGACAAGAAGCTGCAGATTTCAGCCCATGCCACTTCCCAATCTTCAGATAGGTAAGCCTTTGTTACCTCTTAGTTGGACTAACTAAGGAATAATTCTGATGTAGCTAAGTGTGAGATGTTTCAGATTTCTGTAGGATAAAGAGTTCTGTACATCCCTCAGCATTTTTGCCTGCAAGCCCATCACTTTACGGTTTCCATATAGTGAAAAGATTGTCTAAGACTCTTGGACAAAGACCAGCTTAAGACTTAAGTATAGAGAAGATCTTTTGGGGAGCTGGTTAAAGACATCTAGATTTTGCATTTTTGTCTCCTGTCTGTAGTGTGAGATAGGTGCCTGACTTGTAAAAAATTCTTTGCATGAGTTCCAGGAAAGAATGAAATTATCCAGTTAAATTGATGGACTCACCACTGTTGATGGTAGAGCATGAGGTCTTTGCCTTTCAAAAACAAAGCTGAGTGTCCATTGCTTTTTAGAGGTAGAGCCACATAATCCCATCAATTGCTGTTACACTGCAGAGCAGATCCTAAGCTCATCTTCCACAGGGAGTTCTATACAGCACAGATCTGTACATGCTGGTGCATATGCCTGGTAGGATTTGCACACTGACCTGACAGCCCGGCTTCCCATCACTCATCTGAACTCATTAGGATGTGCATGTTAATGGGAGCCTGACGTTTCCCTGCCTGCTGCCTCTACCATGTGAGGGAACCTCTGMCCTTCAGCTGCTGTGATCCTTACAGGCCCAGTGACTGTCCTGCTGTACTCCGCTGAGCTGAAAGGCAGTGCATGGATCCTGCTTTACTCCATGAGGACTAGATTCGTCACTGCTGAACTGGGGAGGAGGGATTCTCACCGAATGAGATGCACATTTAGTTTGGCTTCAGTGGGCATCACAGTAATCAGGCAATGAGAAAACTAAGGCAGTGCAAGCATGATCAGAGAGACTATCCTACCCTTTCAGGTCGGCCAGTGGAAAGTAATCATGAGCAGTCTAATGAGAGCACACACACTCCTGCAATGTGAAACCCTAAGCTCACAAATCAATCCATTTGTAGAAAGGGCTGGTTCTAACTCAGCTGTAACATGAACATACAGAATAGGCAGCAGGTCACAATCATCAGGCAAATCTAGTCATTAAGCAGGCATTAAAAACAAAGTTCATTCAGAATTCAGAACTAAGTTCATTCAGAATTCCAATTGAATTGATCTGTAAGGAATTAATGAGAAGCCAAATAATTAAAATGGCAGGTAAATGTGAATTTAACCACATGTCACCATGTGAAATATGTTTCTGATGTTGATGTTTACAGGGTATGAATTTGACCTAGTCGTATTGAAAGTAATGTATTACTGTGTAGCCTCTGTTCTGATGACTTTTTAAATGTCTGGTTTAAACACTGGTGGCAATGCCAGCAATTAATTCCCTACCCGTATAAGAAATGCTTTGCCAGTCAGAGGAAAAAGAGCTTCCTAAAGTGATGCAGTGCCGTATCAGATGGCATTGGAAATGGGTGACAGTGACCCATCTGAGCCTGTCATAGTTCAAATCCTGCCATAGTTCAAATTGATAGGCTACAATATATTCACACCATTCATTTTATTCCATTTAATTTATTTTCTCTGTGAAGCTCATTACAGATAGGTTTCAAGTAGCTTGTCCAGTCTGAATCAGACCAGGGAAGGAGACAGAGAAACTGCTTTTATTATTTTACTGTGCTCAGTATAAAGGCTAAAAGATTTTATTCCTTCTTCACTGTATTGGACATTTTTTTTTTTTTTTCTTGAGCATATATATCACAAGCAYTCTTGAATGAAACACACCAAGGATGGAATGGAGCCATGCTTCTGCAGAGTTTATTAAAGGTAATGTACACTTAAACTCCAAACCAGCAGTTACATGTTCTCTATAAACACAAGTCAACCAACATAAAAAACATAGGACCAGCTTCTCATTCTGGTAACAATCAAGTAATCTTTAATTAAGGTAAAGTGAAATGAAAAGTTGAAAGGGGGGATTTAGACTTTTGTCTAAAAAGGGAATTGGACATGAATCTTAGGAATGCCCTGAAGTATCTTGCAGAAGTACAGAATGTCCCTAGTAAGTAGTAACAACCACRATGTACAAATCAATATGATGAAGACAACAGCTCTGCCTGCTCTCTTCCCATCTCTTTGGGGCACAGTGCTGCATCTCACCTTTCACCATTGCAGAGAAGAATACCAGCAAAAGGCCACATACAAGGGTCAATTTATTATAACTCTAAAGAAAATGAACAAACTTCCTCCAGTCTCTGATCTCCCAGTGAAGATGTTTATTAGGTACTCAGAAAAAAAAGCTTGTGTATATTATTAGAAAACAGTGGCTGTCTTGAGCTGTGTATGCCAAATGCTYTTCCAAGCTTATTATCACAAAAAAAAACAAGACAGAAGGGAACAAAGTAGCGCCTTCTCCATTTGCGTCAGCTGGAGAAGCAGTCATCCCATCACCTTCTAAGGCCTGTTAACTCTTACATGGAAAGGGTGTAGTTTTTCAAAAAGGTAAATGCCTCTTCTTTGGTGCAGCTTGCTCCAACTGACTGCAGCAGAGAGTGCAAGTAGCAAACCCAAGGACAGCTTTCAGCTTCCTATGTGGTCTGGTGACCTTTTTCCTCAGTCAAAAGTCAAAAGTCTTGCTACTTGCCTCAGTTTGATTCTACTCCCTTGAGTCAGGAAAAGGGTTTTGTGTTTTCCTACCAAACTGTCTAAGACGATTAATAATAGTGTGCAGATTTTTTCCATAATCCTTCCTGCTGGCAGCCTCCCTCCATGTGACTGTGTGTCCTGGACT